CATAAAACTTTCATTTTCCATTTAAACAGTTAAAGGATTTGATGCAGATCTTTGTGAAAAAAGGAATACACTACCACTACATACTGTAAATATATTTAAATTAATAAATTGATATTTTAATGACCTTCAGAAACATATTTTCAGCTACCAAAATGTCCTTTTAGTTACATGATTCCATATTAATATTCTATATTAAATGGATTCATAGAAGTATGACAGATTAAATAAAGTTAATGTTTTCAATAACATCTAATGCACCTCAAGTGCCACCTATCGATCTTTCTTGGCCAGTGAGGTTCTCTGGTTGGTGTGCTGTGGTAGGGCATAGTGGTTGCATCTATATAATCTGGGTCTTCTTCGCAATATAACAGGTCTGTCTTGGGCAATTGCCATGGACAGACAACTGCTCAGAGAGAAGAAGTTATTCAAGTAATTTGATTCCTAACTTCAGCTGCCTGTGATTTGAGATTACCTTCCTGCATTTTACTGGATGATTTAAACCTTCAACATTCCAGCTCACAAATTTGACTGTTTTTGATAAGTCACTATCCAGTAAGAGACATAATAAATACACTAGCTGTCGAAAGCGAGAGATGTAGACAGAGAAGATATACAGTAGTAGCACGAGGCACTTCAATTGACTCAGACAAGCCCACAATCTGTAGATCCTGTCTTCTATTACAATTCTCTAGCTCTGTCAGCTTGGCCTTGACAGCTGTTGACTTTGAGCCACCTTCAGCTCTAAGACACTGACCAACATGGCTGTGTGTCCTAGGTTGAGAAGTCGCTGGCCCTGCAAGTTTACAGCCAATGTATTGGAGTCAAGCTTGTGGCTCAGAGCCGTAATAGAGCTGAAAAGCCTATCCTTTTCTGAGATTTTGCAGTTCTGGAAATACCACTGCGATTGTGGCTACAGCTATATCAGCCAAAGAAAAGGGAAGATGCAGTTGGGCCGATACCTGTAGCTGCAAGCTCTTCACTTGGAGAACTGCAATAAGCTTTAGGTTTAGACAAAGTTATGGACTGTAGAATAAGTAATATTTAAAATAGAAAAAATAATCATAAGTTTTAACAATTAAAAATGAAAAGTGAGCAAGAGCATGAGGAAAACACATTTACATCACTGAGCACCAAGCCAGAAGTCCCCTCACAGGGACAGTTTTTCTCAACATCATACCTTGCATGTGAAGTAAATCTGAGGTACTTACCTAAGGGTTTTTGTTATCTTTGCCACAGGTAGCAATCTCCGTACACATTCCTCTGATGTAGCATATTCACTCATGTCAAAGACTTCAATCTCTTTTTCAGACAGCAGTGTGTAATAGGTGAGTGCTGAACACTGGGAAGGTGAGAGACTTTGTCCTGAAAGTTTTGTTTTATCCAGAGTCACATTGAACTCCTCTATTAAAGACTTGTCCTTCAGTTCACTCAGACAGTGGAAAAGGTTGAAGCATCTTTCAGGAGAGGAAGTTTCTCTAATGAGCTCCTTGATGTATCCTGCTGTTTCCTGGATGTCATTGGAGTGATCTTTTGTGCCTGACAGGAATCCCTTCAGAAGCTCCTGGTTGTTCTTCATTCCCATTCCCAAAAGGAATCGGACAAACATATCAAGGTGACCAGTTCTGCTCTGGATGGCTTTTTCTAGAGCACCTTTATTCAGACTGAATAAAGGAATAATAGATGGATAAAGGAATTGTTCCAACCAGGAAAAAGACCACATTGTTTCCTGTAGTGGGTTAATATTATAGTTTTGATAGGAACCAAAAACATGCAGAGCTGCAAAATACTCCTGGACAGTCAGGTGTAAAAAACAGTACACCTTTTCCTGAAACAAGGCTGAATTTTGTTTGAATATTTCCTTGCACACCCCTGAGTAAATGGGAGAGTTGAGATCGATGTCATATTCTCTCAGATCTTTTTCATAGAACACAATTATGTTTTTCTTCAGACTTTCAAAAGCCAATTTTCCCAGCTTCAGAATTGCTTCCTGATTTGATTTGAGGACATTTTCTTTCTCTTTCTTCTGTTCCTTTGCTGTCAGTAAGACAATGAGAAAGACTGTATAGAAATCTGTCAGAGTCTTTGGATTGTCAAAACTCTTGTCTTCCAATGTGTGCTCCAGAACAGTAACTACAATCCAGCAGAAAACAGGGACATAGCACAAAATGTAAAGACTCCTCAATGTCTTTATATGTGAAATAATTCTGTCTGCTAGAGCTCTGTTCTTACATTTCTTTCTGATGTACTCTTCCTTCTGCTGATCTTCAAACCCCTGGACCTCTGTCACCCTGTTGATGAGCTCTGGAGGGATCAGACCTGCTGCAGCTGGTCTGGAAGTGATCCAGATGGAGGAGTCAATGGGAAAGTTTCCCTTGATGAGGTTTGTTAACAACATGTCCACTGAAGTTGGCTTTTTCACATCAGACCAGATCTCATTTTCTTCAAATTTCAAAGGATGTCTGCTTTCATCCTGACCATCAAAGATGAACAGGACTTTACAATGTTCTAAAATATTATCATAGGATTTCATCTCTGGGGAGAAGCAGCGAACCAGCTCTTGTAAACTCTTTTCTGATGTAATCATGTTTAATTCACGAAAAGGAAGAAAAAATATAAAGTCAAAGTCCTGGTTATCTTTTCCAGTAGCCCAGTCGAGAATGAACTTCTGCACAGAGAATGTTTTCCCTATGCCAGCGACTCCCTTCATCAGTACAGTCCTGATGGGTCTGGTCTGTCCTGGCAGTGGCTTGAAAATATCGCTGCACTTGATGGAGAGGATCTCTGATTTTGTGTTTTTGGAGACAGTTTCTACCTGCATGATCTCATGTCCATGATTCACCTCAACACAGCTGCCCTCAGTTATCCACACATGTGTAAAGATGTCTTTGAGGAGGGTCTGCTCTCCTGGCTTAGAAATTCCCTCAGACACAACTTCAAACTGAATCTTTAGAGCTTCCTTGTGTTTGTCTTTCAGTGTCTGAAGCCACCCTAAAACAGACAGAACACGATAGTAAAAAAGACAGTCTGAGGCTGGAGGAGAAATCCTGACAGTGTAATGTGATGACAGATAGGGACACCAGTTATTGAGGTTTATGTTTGCAAGTGTGAGGCACAATCAGAAGAGATGGACACAGATAAAGTCCAGAGTCACAGATACGGTCTATCAGTGTCCCAGCTGGAACTCCAGGCAGCAACTCCTCATTTTTAATCGCCCTCTGATAGTCATGTCCTGCTCTTTCACAGCCTCGCAGACTCACCCTGTCATGAGGAGCGTTTCCACACAGAGACATTTCAATTTTTAAGATTGAAGACTAATTCTGCTCTAACCTAGATATAAGAAAGTTAAGATGAAATAAATTCATGATGTTGACAGACCATTGTGGCAAAAGCTTAATGTGTCATAATATTTACTGCAATACACTATTCTTAAAAATATTTAAAATATGTATGCACTGTATTGATGTGATAGTTAAATTAATGAAACAATTAGAAATTGGTACAGTAAAAGCAATATGTGCACATGGATTAAAGGTATATGATAAATAAGATTATAAATAATGTTTTAATACAACACAAGAATGTGCAAAGTGTCTATAGAACTCCCTTTAAATTTTGTCACCTTTTGTTGCCTACCCCACAACATCCAAGTGAAAAATATTCTACATTTTTTTTAGCAAATAAATAGTAGATAAGAGTCTACCCACATGTATCTAATCGCCTTCAGAATCACACATATATTTAATTGATAATAATAAAGTAACAGTAAAGTAACAAATAGTAGAAATATAATCAACTGTAATAAGATTCAAGAAACAAGGGCTATCTGAGTGAACACAGTAAATCCTCGGTTTAACATACGGGAAAAGGTTTGTTAAATCAAAGGCACTTTTTTCAACCCAAAATGCACAATTACATATATGTTATATTATATGCATTTGTTTTCTGTATCTTTTTACTTTATGAAATTGCAATCGACAGCATGAACATTTTTCTGATGCCTGTTTTTGTAAATATACAGTACAAGCTCTGTATTTAATGTCATAAATATACTCTACAGTACTAATCTGTATAAGATTAACTGAAGCATATGAAACCTATCAAGCAACACCTACCTCTATAGTGCACCATTGATAATTCTGAATTTTATTTTTAAAACTATTTTTACTTATTTTAATATTTGTGAATTTCCTCATTATTTCAGGGAAAGGAAAGGCATTTCTGATTTTACAGACAAAATTCCCCTTTGAACAGAAATTTTGTCTGTTTAACCCAAGTACGCACAGATAAAGATTTGTATTGTCCCCTGAGAGAAATTTTTGATGGACAGTTACTCGAAACCTGTCATACTGAGGGTTTACTGTACCTGCAAACAGGACAAGCCCTGGGCACAGGTGAACTACTGTAGGCGACTGCCTCGGACCCTGAGATTACCAGGGGGGCCCTCAATGTGCAAGACATAATATTGTTTCATTCCACACATTTAAATGTGAGTCAAAAATTCCCTTCAATGGCTCTTTCTGTTGCTGCTGTGCAAGTTTAGTCTGTTAATGTTTGTTAGTTAACTTATAATATTATGAGTTGTGAATGTAAGCCCAGTGGTTTGTTTCACTTTTGATGTAATAAATAACTCACCTTCACTGTAAGATGACAATATTATATATATAATGCAGTAACAGCTACTGCTGCACTGAATGCTGTTTTATTTTGGAAAGTAGTAAATGTTGTTTTGATCAGTTTTATTAATATTGCCTTATATCTAACATGTAATGAAACATTACTAGTGATTATCTACTTGTGTTGCAAACTATGTTGTAATGGTTTAAAATTAAAATCACGTAGATGCAACTGCTAAAAGCACATCATCCTCCAAAAGGATGTTCCTATTGGGCACTGAAAAAAGAAAGACAAGAAGAGCAGGACAAACCATCTCAAAACAAATGAAGTCACTGTAATATGCATTACAGTATTTTGTGTTTCTAGCAGGTAACATAGACTACTTGAGGTGTTTAACTAAAAGTAACTGATTCACGTTTCATGGTATTACTTTCAAAGTTAAAATACGTTATCTTTGTAAAATGTGTGTGTCTTGTTCTTGTTTATAAGTTATATATTGTGTGTTCTTTGAAGCTGGTTAATAAAGGTTTTCTAGCTTAATAGTTAATTTATTTAACTGCTCCATGTAGTAAATTCAGTTTGGGGTGGGAGCTGATAATAGTGGTGTATTAGTAGTGTGATCTGGAGGGGCCCATTTCCAAGGTCTTGATTAGGGCCCCCAAAAAGCTAGGTCCAGTCTTGCTCAGTAATATCACCTGTGTAGTTTTAAATGAAAGAACATCTTATAACACAGGAAATGAATCTAAGTTCTGATTGTAACAATGATGGAAGGATTTCAAATCTAAAGATGAAATTCTTTGAAATCTAAACCACATGTGGCAATATGAGTACTGATACCTGTAGTGAGCTAGTGATCCCTCCAGTGGTGAAATTGGGTAAAACTCTTTGGAGTTATCCATTTTGAGAACAAAAGAACTAATCATTGATTTTCGGAATAATGCAATCCCCCTTCTACTCACTGTGATGGATATTGATTACTAAAAGTATTTGGGACCAATCATAGACAAAAGCCTAATACTGCAAGACACATGCCACAGTAAGTTGAAAGGTACCTCCAACATCTTTTTGTTTTCAAATAATCTGATGCAGGACTGCACTGCTCTGTGAAAATGCCAGGTGGCACAGTGGATCCTTAATGAACCATTGTGTCTAACAGACAGTTTATTTTATTTTAATAATAAAAATTAAATGTTCACTCATTAGTACTGTGCTAGTCATACAGTACAGTAACACTAATATTTTGTTTTCTTTCATCAAATTCAGCTTACAGAATCATTAGTAGTCATGTATACACCAATAAGAAAACAATTTCATTTTAGTTTTTGATTGTAAAATTTATTATAGATAGTGACTTTAAAAACATGTCATATTTAAAAACAAAAAACAGGCCAGTAGTTTTGAATCACTAATACACATCATGACCTCACACATGAGTGTGAAACAGAGTTAATAACCTTTGTTTTAAAAGCTTTTTTAAAAATATGTGTCTGTAGTAACTAGTAATATGATGGTGAATATAACCGAGCTTCTAATGTTTGTCTCCTAATATTGTGAGTCATACATGTGTTGTACCAGTGATGTGGTTGTTGGGGGGTGTATAGTATTACAACACAGGTTCTGTCTTAGCATTTTCAATTTAGTTTAGTTTTTCTGAATAAAGTTTGAGAAACAAGCAGCTGCTATGTTGATGTAGGTGATTTTATAATACATTCTATGAGCATTCTATTTATTCATGGAATAATGTGTCTTGCATATTGTTGAGTCACATTGTTAGGCTGTGTACTATCTACAGCAGTGTTCTGGTGCTACGAGGAAAAAAAATATCATACGTGTAAGCGAATGAGTAGTAATGAACCCTGTGCAGGTTGCTGAGAGTGTCCAATGACTATGAGTCCAAGAGGAGTGAGGCGCTAGAGTGGTTGGTAGTTCCAGGCTACCAACCAAGCGATGTTACCAGGTGAACTGAGAGTTTAACATGTGCTCCAGCATCTGGGAACAGTTAACTGAGGTTCAGCAGCTGGCTGTCAGAGTGTGGTTCTTTGTGTGTTGTTCCTTCTGAACAATCATTAGTTTTTTACAACTATCAAAAGTTGGTTCAGATATTTAAATAAAAGAAAGCACTTGACCATTGGAGATGATGGTCAACATATTATATAGACTATAATGAGCTACAACAAGCAAAAGTAAAACAGATATTAGAAAGACCAACAGAGGATATGTGAAAAAAGAAATGAATGCTCTAATGGAGGCTAAAATATATTTTTTTTCAGTATTATCACAGCAAGAGAACAGTAATGAAGTAAAATTGAAATCTCGGACCTTGCAGAGGCCACTTATTAAAATAGTTTATGTTTTCTATGCCTCTGTAACAGGGCAACTGGAGTCAAGTTTACAAACAGGACACCAGTGGGAGGCATATAGATACTCTAAATACCCGGGGGACTAATGTGTGTTCAATCAGCACAGGGTTATCAGGGGTGACCTGTGTGAAGCCAGGTTTCTGAATGTGAGCATTCAGGGAGTGAACAGTCAGCTCAGGAATATGACCCCCCCCCCCACACACACACACTGACAAGTATGATAAAGAGAAGACGAGTCTCATGTTGAGACCTAGGGGTAGTGTTCAGATCCTCACTGTGAGGTTTGGCAGTAAGACTCAGGCTCTTGCAATGAGACCTAGTGAAAGATCAAACCCCAGAAGGGGGCCGGTACCAGCAGCCCTGGAGAAGACTGAGAAAGGCTACAGACAGCCTGTTCTGAAGGTGAAAGAGAACAGGGCTGTCTGAGGGAAATGTCTGCTCAGGTTTGAGTAAGACAGTCAGTTGAGATTCAGGGAAAACTTTGTGGAGAAACAGTTAGGTAGTATTACAAACTTCAACTTAAAAGTCGCAGCCCCGGTGTTTTTCGTGTCCAAAATGAACATGACAGATTTGAGGCCTTATTCCACTGCTACTTATTCGTAAAGTACAACAAGGTTAAGAAAGGCATACAATTACAGATGAATTAGAGTTAAAGCTTAATACAATGAAATAGGTCCAGACTCAGCACCAACGATCCAGTCAATTCAGGAGATAAAGGTCTTAAATGCAAGTTTACATGGATTTTCTCTTACACATTATCTCTTCAGTACAGCCTTCAGCAGGTGACAATTTAAATAGTCAAAACATACTGCATTGGGAGCCCCTGAAAGATATGGACTGTTTTAGTCCTGAAAAAATCAGACTATGAGTGGATTGATACAGGAACACCCTTTTCCTGTAGTAGTTCAGGTGGGTAGCTGTGTCAGAATGCGTAGACTGCAAAGGAACAAGTATAGGTTTATTCCATGCTGAAAAAAAGAAGAAAGAAAACAACGTTTTGGCCGTGGAGTCTTCTTCAGGTGTGAGCTTTATTACTTGTTCCTTTGCAGCCTACGCATGCTAACGCAGCTACCCACCTGAACAACACCTGCTGCGACCCACTATGCCTTCCTCCAAATCTTTTTCTAGATCTCTTCGTCATACCTTCCTCCCTGGGCCACTTGCCCGCTTCTCTTACTAAACCAGCATTCCGTCTCTTCACAGCGATCTGTTCCAAGACCAGGCTTTCTAACCACCTTCTTTTCCTTTACAGATGTTGTCGACATAATATCATCCCAGGATTTTGCCTGAAATTTAATACCTTTTCTTTTGACTCTGATACCACCCAGAATGACACTCAGAGACTTCTAAAACAATTTTCTAAGAAACTAATGCTCTCTACCATTTTCTCCATCAAAAAACAGATTATCCTTTCCGACAACAACATCAAAGAGGCTAAAGAATTTCTACGGCTGACAGCTCCACATCATCTTCCCTACTCACACATGAAGAAGGCTCCACGACCGAAACGTTATGTTTTCTTTCTTCTTTTTTTCAGCATAGAATAAACCTATTACTTGTTCATTTTCACCCTTTTCCTGTGTTACATAAGTCGCAACTTTATCCTCTGTACATCATCTTGTGCTTTTTTGCTTAAAATTGTGAGTAACCTGTAATGCAGTTACTGTATGTCAGGGAAGCACCAAAGTGATTTTATTATTTACTGTGTATTTTATTTAGCATTTCATTACTGAACGGTACAGTGTAAGGTAATGAAATGTATAGTACTGTATATTGTTAAGGCTAATCAGATCATATCATCCCTATTCCAGCAAAGCATCATCTCAGACAAGCAATTTCCACTGAGAACTCTAAAATAGATCTTAAAACCCTTCTTTACCAGCAAGCATATTAACTTCCACTACAATTTACTAATTTTCTATCTTTCTCCTTTTTAGTTATTATTAAGTTCCCTATCTTCTATTTTTAGATTTAATTTTATGTGACACACATTGAGATTCATTGGAATGGAATATGCTATATAAATAATTGTATTATCATTATTACTATTAGAGATTTATCTGGATGTCACATTCTCTTTGGTGCAGAAGGAAGGTCTGTCTCTCTTGTTGGTCTGTGTAGGTGTCATATAGCAGTTCAATACTTACTAGAGAGTCTGGGGTGTCCTCTTAGTATATTCAGGTATATTCTCAGGATATCTTTACAATTTGGCAGTTATAATTATTTATCACACTCAGCATTTTATGTAAATATCTATTTTTGTAACCCCTACAGGTAACAATGTTATTTATAAATTCAATGAAAGATAATACTCACACTCCAATGTTTACTGTATTTACTGGAGAGCGTATTTTTATATATTTATATTTTAAGTTATATTATACTAGATTTAGAATTTAATTATTTTAATTATTGGATTTATAATTTTTTTTAAATCATTTTTTTGCCCCATATCTACATCAACAGGGGAAGTTTCCTTTTTCTCTCTACCTCATTGTAAAGGCAAGGGCTTGTAAGGCTGCAGCCAGTTATAGCTGAGAGGGTGGTGATTTGTCTGAAGCACAAGAGTAACAAAACACCCAGGGAGGCCCGGCTGATTGAGGGCTCATTGAGGGCTCGGATGCTCCTGGACAGAGGGAAAGTGAAAGGGAATTAGAAACACAAAAGTGATTATAGACTGATAACTGATAACTGATTACTGATTCTGATTACAGTATATAACTGATTACTGACCGACAGGGCTTAATCCTCCCAAGCCAGACAGTAATGGAAAATAAAATAAAAACGTTAAACAGAACTGGCCAGTGGAACAGGGATGGTCCCAGCTGGTCAGCTAGAAAAGAAACCAAGTGTGGCACAACCATCTGAGAGATACCTGTGCCAGCTGTATGCATGGTCAAAGAGAGAGTCTGGTATGGCAAAGCACTCAGACACTCAGAGCCAGAATGGAACCAGCTACCAAGCCCCCAGAAGGAAAGGGGGCCACATGGTTCTGGGAAACAGCCCTCCAAGTAGCCAGGGCTTGCAGGCTGGCAAGGGAAAGTGGTCTCCTCAGAACACAGCTGTGCCTTTACCCGGAGGCTTAACCGAGAGGATGGTTCTCACCAAAACCAGTGAGGCAGGAAACCCCCACACAGTGGACCAGTCAAAGACCCCCAGAGCCGGTTATTCAAGGCGCATGCTCTATGGAGGGTTTCCTCCAAGACCAGGTCAGGCGGGTGCTGTCAGTTTCCAAAGTTAAACCTCTCTGACTGAGACGTCTGGGTGCCAACAGAATCAGATACCCGGGGGTCCTCTGGACCAACTGGGGGATACATCTGGGATGTACGGGTGGCAATGGACCCTTCCTAAATTCCCTCTCAGCTCTCAGTATGTCCCAGTCAGAGCCCGGGAACAGGAATCCACATGGAGGCCAGACTAACAGGGAAATGCTCTTCAGACAGAGTGGACACAGGATGCATGGCTCCCCAGGAAGGAACAGAAGGCTCTTCTGGAAGGCAGGAAGGAGACTGGGAAAAGAAAGAAAAGTACTCAGACAGCCTGAGAGAAAAGGGTGAGATAGAGAAAACAGTCCTCAGTCAGGAAAGGAAGCTGCTTCAAGAAAAGCAAGAAAGGCGACAGGAAGGAGGACAGTGCGAAAGTGAAAAAAAGTGCTAGGGCAAGGCTCTTAGAGGCAAAAACAGGATGGGGCTGCACAGAACAGACTGATTCAGTCGCAAAAGGAGAAGGTGGTTAGAGTCCAGCCTGGGGATCTCTACCCTGATGAATCAGCCCATTGACAGGAATTGGGCATTTTCAGCATTGGAGAGGAATCCTATGCTGAACTCCCAGTAAAAAAAAGGACAAGGGAATCTCAGCCTTGGAATGGAATCCTGATGCTGAGCTCGAAAGGAAAATGGTTATCTGACTTCAGAGCAGAATCATAATGTTGAGAAAGAAAGTCAGGGGTGCAGACGGGCTTAGGACTCCAGGGCAGGACGAGCACCAAGAGAAGCCACTGAGGCATCTGCCCAGGGAACCGGAGAACAGGAGTGCAGACAGGACAGGTGAAATGAATGAAACTGAGAACAAAAAGCACTAGTGCACAGAAAGGGAGTGAAGGGGGTGAAATGAACAATGACGAATCACTGTTAAATTCGCACCATGGCATTAAATAGGGAAAGAGAAATTGAGTCATGAATTGTTAATTACTAATAAATACAGATCAGTGAAGGAAAGTCTGGCTTGTGCAGCTGGTCCTGGATAAACACGAGCCCTCATGAGAAAGTAAGTTTCCCAGGGCAGCAGCTAGCTGAGAGACATGTTGGTGTGATCATAACAGAGCTATTATAGAACTAAGTTTTTAAAGATTTTAAAGCTGTTATTAAAGATTTCTAAAGATCTTTTATTTGCTTTCACCAAGACAATAAAACCCAAGACAATAGGTCAGAAGTCACTAACCTTCCAATCTGTATGATAAAACAATGACGGACCTATAGGGTATCTGGATATATCTGCAGACATCCCAGTCAATCAACAACTGTGATTCCCTGTTTTATAAATAACAAAGTCATTTCATTGGTTTGCTCACTGGCTCAGCTTTTCTCTCTCTAACCTAGCATTTTGACTCTTTTCACCATGTGACTGCAAGTAGTCTGAGTCAGGACTTGTTCAAAGAACCCAGGATGAGAGAGTGCAACAGTAAAAAAAAAACAGAAGAAATCTTGTTTTTCATGAGACAGTTGTTATGTTTTGCCTTTTGGGCTCTTTTGTCAGACACATTTGATAAAGTAGTTCAGGACAGTAAATACATATTTAGTTTTCGTTGAGAATATCAATATGATGAAACCATATATATATATAATATACAAATGATACTGATATGAGATTCGTATTACCTATGACGTATACAATAACAATAGTTGATATGTTTTAACTTTGTTGTTATTCACTCATCTTTAATCCCTGAGTGAACAATCAACAATTCATATTAAAGCAGATTGATTCAAAACTATATTTTTTTACTCTTGTTGGTTTGTTATGCATGTTTTAGTGTTGTATTAATAAAGTGTATAGTTTACATTTAGAATCCATGTGTGAGACTTTAAATTATGTTTAATTGATTCCTACAGTAACAGTTGTCCAAGCACACTCATTCACACGCACTGACCTAGTCTTTCCTTCTCCTGACAGATGCTCTCATTCACTAACCTTGGTCAGTCTCCTGGAATCCTCCTGTGTAGAAATTCTCAAGTTCATCTGTAAGGTCACTCACAGCTCTCCTCACATCCTGAACATAAAGAGGAGAGAAAGGTGTGAGACTTCAGGAAGAGGCAGAATTGGCAGATTATAAAGAAATCAAGAAATCTAAAGTTTTCATAGAAAGAGAAGGAAAACATCCATAGTGAAAACAGTTCTGCAGTAAGAATAAGAGACCATCCCTCAGTGTTTCTGTACTGAGATACTGAGTTCTGGTCACTAATGTTTTACACTGTACATGTGAAATAAAATAACACACAGTCAATCAGCTGCCCTCAGTGATGAGTGTGTATTACTTCAGTCACACTGGTCACTACAGATCTCTGTCTGTGAGTTCAGGGAAGAGATGGCCAAGCACAGAGTCACTCAACCCTTTTCACTGTGAATCAGCTGAAGAAAAGAATGTCAATATTCAGCACAGGTCTGATCTCATACAACAGATGAGTGACTGAAGCCTCCTACCTGTGTCAATTGCTCTTCTAACGTAAACATGGTGTCATGGCCCCTGTGTTCCTGCACTGAACACAGACTGCAGATGAGAGTCTGGTCAGTCTTACAGAACAGCTCCAGTGCTTTGTAGTGCTTGTGGCACAGTTTGGGCTTCTGGTCTCCACTGATGTCCACCAGTCTGTGTCCCTGCAGGGCTGGGACTGTGTAGTACTGTCGGACGTGTGTCTCACAGTAGGAGGCTGGGCAGACATGACAGTATTTCACAGCTCTCATCTTCTTGTCAGTGCAGAAATCACAGGACACATCTGCATGCCCAGCAGACCTATGAGCAAAGGCAATATAGATCTTCACATTGTACCTTTATCTTAGCGTCATAAAGCCCTCCTGACACCCACTATACTGCTCCTTAAAAAATATGGGTTTAAGAATTCTGGACAGGAGAAAAAAGAGAGGAACAGACAGGAGTTCAAGACAGGAAGGGGGAAAAGACACAGCTCAGTACAAGAGAAGAGATTGAGACACAAACAAACACAGAGCTGAGGACAAGAGTAGAAACACACAACAACACACTTTGTAACTTTGTAATGTGAACATATTGTTATTCTGTTGCTGTTGCATGTAGAATGTGTGTTTTTCTAAAACACTGTCCTGTGATGCAATGTACATATTGTCTTGTCTCTGAAATAATAAGTTTACTTCTATAAATATTGATTTTATTTAAATTTAGAATTGCATGCTTGGTATATTTTTTCTGTAAAACAACAAAACCAGATTAAACTATTTTGTATTGTTTAGGTCCATATAAAATGTCTTCACCTTCACAGGGGATCAGACTCTGTAGACACAACTGTCCAGTCTGAAGCAATGAGGCAGACAGATGATCCTGAACAGTGCTGCTCATTCAGATATAGATCTGCTGAAGTGAACCTGTACCATAGTGTAGGACAGCATTCTTGTCTTTCTGTAACAGCTGCTTCCAGTTTATGATAGCTTATGGTTCTATAGATCTCTGCTTCTGTCACACATGATGTGAAGACACCTTTAAGGGCACAGACATGTTCTGAGAAATGCAGTTCCTTTATTCTGCTGCCCATCACTCCTTTATTCACTTACAACTCTCCAATCCTCACCCTATGTGTATCTTTGATCATGTCTGCAGTGGATACACACTCTTTCATCCATTACTCAGAAGAAAATACAAGCTGTTGATTTTTTAAATTATTTTCAGAAGATTTCAGCTGTAAGGTATTTATTCTTCTTAAACTTTTCACAGCACAAAGAAAATAAGAAAGGGAGGGATGATCTAGTTCACACAATCTTATCTCATGACCTGCTAACAGATACACTCAATGGACAACAGTGACCTCACCTGGGGTCAGTGTCAAGGGCTCCACCTCTGAACTCTATTGGTAACTCCATTGATCTGTCGCCCTTCATGGACACATAGCTGGGCACCGATGATCCTGGTCTGTCCAGACTGACCCTGTGAACAGCACAGAAACCAACTGCTAACCTTTAACTCACAGAAGCCGAGTCACTGACAATAATGAGACCAAAGTACTGACAGGGAGTTCATGAAAAACAGAGAGAGGCAGTGAAACAGTGAGGTAGAGAACAAGTGTCTCTGATGTTAAAGGAGTAACTGTGCTGGCATTGGGGTTGATCTCTTTTTTCACCTCCTGCCCTCACAGCCCCTTTCCCTCAGGGGCTTGCGGGGGGGGGGCACACAGTCCCAGTGTGTGAACATGAGCCTGAACTCAGGTGTGTTTCTACTGGTTTCCAGACTGGAGCAGCTCAGAGATCCTGGAGTCAGTAATTTCAATTATATGTAAATCCTTCTCTGGTCCACTTGAATTATAAATCTTATAAAAGCAGCAGAAATTCAACACAGCCTGAATGTGACATTTTGGAAGTCTAGAAGGTGCAAGTAATGCTTCAGATTTACAGTGCTAAACTAAAATTACAAGAGGACCCCATTCAGGTAGTATAGCCAGATTGGTAGTTAGTACCTAAGTGATACAAGGATCTCAGACTGTGTTGTTCTTGAAAGACACCAGGGTATCAGTAACACCCATATGCCTGGGTTGTGTGTTTCATCCTTCAACAATATTTTGTGTAAAGAAGGACCTCCTGTCCTCAGTTTGAAATGCCCTTTCCTGTAGTTTCAACTCATGTCCTTCTCATTGTGTATCACTGTTGATAGTGATTCAGGTCACTGAGCTGAATGCGTCAGTATCTTTAGGATTTTATCATCTTGAATCAGATGCCTTTTAATCACTCTTGTAAGGTCAGAAATGTTCAGTCCCTTTACCCCTCACTGTTAGACATTCCTTTGACTCCAGGGTTGTATTTGGCTCCTCTTCTCTGGACTAATTGCAGAGAGGCAATCTGTTTGTAACCAAACAATTGTACACAGTGACCAAATTCAAACTAATTGTACACAATTTTAAATGAGACCTCATTGGTGCTTTATACAGTTTTAACAGAACACCCCTAAATAAATGTATTACTTTTAACCTAACATTCTGTGTTGCCTGTTTTATTGCTCTTCCACATTGTCTAGAATAAATTATTTTAAACTACGCACCTTTACCTTCACCTACCAGTGTCTGTCTACTAATACAAGTCACCCTGTTGACTCTGAACCCACATGACTACAGGACTCCCTGGTCAGGTTCCATTGTGAGGATAAGGGGCAAGACGTTATAAACTAATAATTACAATTACAGTGTGATGAACTCACCCAATTAACAATAAAATTTACAGCTCCATCATCATCATCAGGTTTTCATCAATCCACTGCCAGAACAACTGAAAGGGAATTCAGCTCAATAAAACCAGGATCACATTATTGTGTAAATGGACAGAGTGTCCTAGTGGAGCTCCTCTTCCTCACTCTAGTGCTTGATCTGATGAAGGGTCTGTCTTCATGGACACACAGAGGGGAGCTGGGTCTATAGATCTCTGCTTCTGTCACACATAGTGTGAAGACAAAATCAAGGGCACAGACATGTTTTGAAAAATCTAGGTCCTTTATTCTGCTGCTCATCACTCCTGTATTCAATTACAGATCTCTGTCCCTCATCCTGTGTGTGTCTCTCATCATAACTGCCATGTTCAGTATACACATTAGACAGGAGAAAATACTAGTTGTATAATTTTTGTTTTGGATTTTCAGCAGTTTTCAGCTGTCAGGATGTTATTATTCTCAAACTTTTCACAGAACGAAAAAAATAATAACGTGAGAGATGGTCCAGTTCACAACAAACTAATCTCTTTGCCAGCTGACAGACACACTCAATGGACAACAGTGACCTCTCCTGGGATCAGTGGTGAAGGCTCCACCTCTGGGTAATGATGACCCAGCTCTGTCCATCTTAACCTTGTGAACAGCACAGACACAAACTGCTAACCTTGAACTCAGAAACACTGAGCTCACTAACAGTAATGAAAAAAGTTCCTGA